ACCTGACATATGGACACAGACATACAGGCACACACAGATACAAACATCCATTCCCACCCTCATGTTCTCATATGCAAGGGAAGTCAGCCCAGGCCTTCACCTGTCCATAACCAACTTTGACTGATTCCTTTGCTACAGCCCTTTTTATTATCCGCAAGCAATTATTCATGAATATGCAATTACAAATGCATGTGACATTCTTAAGCAGGCATATCTGAACAACATCAGTGTCTATATCCTGTGTGTGTGCGTGCGTGTGTGTCTGTGTTTCTAGCTATACCATACATAGACATACGACCTGCACTCAGACCTAATAAGGATATGATTTTTATCAGCATACAAATGATGATATATTTCTAAGCATAAATGACAATATAAAAAATATCACTTCCAACAGCATAATTGCTTGGAAGGATTTGAGGGGTTTCTCTTCTTCTTCTTCTTTTTTTTTTGAGCGATGTTCCAGTTCTCACTCCATACTAGCAATGCACTTTTGAGGGTTTTTTTTTTTTTTGCCAACTGCCAATAAAAATATAAAAAGAAGAAAAGAACTTAGGGGTCTCATGGAAAATTCCATGAGAAAATTCCACCCACACCACACCAGTTATACTTTCACTTTTCCTTTTGACATCACTGGCTTGAAAGTCATGCAACGATTCAAAGCGTCTTTTGCCTCTCACCAAAGCAGACAAGTTTATTAGGCGCAGACTCAGCATAATGTTTCTCTCTATAAAAAACAGCATCTGTTAGGGTTCATAAAAAGGAAGCTGCGTTGACAAAAACCAGATCGAAAAAAAGCAAAGGTGAGTTGATTTTTAACTTGTAATATTTATGTAGTGCGTGTGTGTGCTGCAGCGATCATTAGTTTTGCTTATAAAGATTACTAACAAAAAAAATGTTCTGGCAATATATATCACCATACGGAATATGAGGGCCACATTAAGAAAAAAAATATTGTTGATCATTTTGAGAATACAGTCGAAATTTTGGGATTAAAGTAAAAATTCTATTTTAACAAAAAAAGTCAAATTGTGGAGATTAAATTTGTTGTTGTGAGTTAGAGAAACAAATTGATCAGCCGTTTTATCGTGTCTTGTGAAACAACATGTCTGAGGGTGTAACCACTGATATCTTTACATCTATTATTGAGCTAGTTAATAGGTATGCCCTCATTGTCATCTGTTGTGATTTTATTTTGAAAGGATGCTTCCTGTTATGCTGCGGGGTGTACGCGATAGTTCAATAAACAAAGTAACTTTGGTGTGAATGTTCTGGTAAAAGCCGATGCCCCACGTGTGATTATTCCTCCGTCTACACAATAAGTATCTTCAACATTCATGCAGATTCTGCTGGAAGACCCATCTCTGCTAACAATGTTGTTCAGTATATATCTATGCAAAACAAGAGGAATTTCAATACACAGCAGTATATTCACAGTTGAAACCAGATATTTACATAGACTTTATGAAAAACACAAGAACATTTTTTTACTGTACAACATCAATTTAGAGTAAACTTGTTTTGTTTTGGTTAAATAAATATTGAAATATCTTTTGAATTAGTTAAATGTTAGAATAAAGAGAGACAGAGCTGTCTATTTTTTATCACTTTCAGCAGATTTAGGAGTACATGTACACTAAGTTTATTGTTAATTAATAAGAAAACTCCAGACGATTCCATTCTGAGCTGAAGAAGCTTCTGATAGGTTAGTAGAGTCCATGTGAGTAAATTGGTGGCACACCTGTGGATGCATATAAGGCCTGTTTCTTCAAAATGGGAAAATCAAGAGATATCAACCAAAACACCTGGAAAAGAATTGTGGAGCTCCATAAGTGTGGCTCAATTTTGAATACAATTTGGTGCCATTTGCAATTAAGAAATACAGAAAATTTCTCTCTTTACTCTTAAAGTTAACAAATATGTTTTTTGTATTTATCAATCTAAAAAAAATAAACATTTAGTCTGATTTGATGTTACAATTAAAGAAGTGTTTTTATCTGAAGAGTATGTAAATATCTGGTTTCAACTGTATATTTGATGATTGTCAGCACAAAGAGGGAGAGAGAGGAGAATGAGGACAGAACAGAGATGGAACAAGAGCAGGTGGACAGACATGTTAGTCAAATGGTTATTTACCAAAAGTATCACCGTGTCATAGGTACTCATGTATCTCGTACCTAGTGTTTCTTTTTAGGTTTGTTATTTTTCAAATTTTATATTTATTAAGTTATGCAGGCTTGTTTGCACAACAAGGCTAAATAATTATATAAACTTTTCTCAATCTAAATAGTGTACTTTGGTAGAATTAAAAAATAAGTGTAGTGCAGGTCTATGATGATTTTTAGTGCTACTATCATCTAGTTCTGATTCTTGTTCTGTCTTGGTTAAGTCCTCAGTAGTCCTGGTTTTGAATTCTTGTAGTCCTGTTTTAATTCCGGATCAGTTCTTGGTCTGGTTGAATTGGGGTTTAGTCCCTGTGTCTTGATACAGCCTTGATTTTGTTCTGCCTTGCTGCTTAATTGAGGGGAGATTGTGGCTC